CTTGGAGCTTCAATGAGCAGTGTTATATCTTCGTGATTTATAATTGTTTATCTGCAGTTAGAATCTACATATTTGTAATAAATGGTAATTCAGGCTGTACTTTGACAACTCTGCAAAAAAACCCCAGATAAATCAGGAACTTTATTTACTTTTTACAGTCTTTAGTTTTTGTGATGACTCTGGGAATAGCAGGGCTTAGATTTCCAGTGAGGGGTGATAACATGACCCACTGCACCACAAGACCCCTCAGGGGTAAGGGGCAGGGGGTTGTTTTCCCCAAAATTGAGAAGATTAAGAAGTTGTTTCAGAGATAGTAGGAACTGCAGATGCTGGAGAATCTGAGATAACAAGATGTAGAGCTGAATGAACACAGCAGGAAAGCTGACATGTCGGGCCTAGACCCTTCTCTAGGCCTGAAACGTCAGCTTTCCTGCTCCTCTGATGCTGCTTGGCCTGCTGTGTTCATCCAGCTCTACACCTTGTTATCTCTTATTTTAAGAAGTTGTCTGATCAGTTTTCAAGCTATTAAGAGCAAAATAGAGACACAGAGAGAGAGAAAGAGACAGAGATACACAGGGAGAGAGAGACAGAGAGAGAGAGACAGAGACACAGGGAGAGAGAGACAGAGAGAGACACAGAGACATTTTGTCATGGTGGGACATGGTCTAAAAGTCAGGTCCAGACCTTCCAGGAATGTAATTGAAAAACAAAAAGGATGGTGGACATTTGGAACTCTCTTCCAGAAAAAGCTAATGTTACCTGAACAATAGTTAATTTTAAATCAGAGATTGAGAGATTATTCAAAGATATGAAGGGATCCACTGTCGAGGGGTATACGTAGAGTTGGTCAGCTTTGATATCATTGAGGGGCTGATTGGCCTCCTCCCAACAATCAGGAGGAAGGTATTGCAGAGGGCAGCAGCTGGCAATAAGAGGCTTTGCAAGTGAAGAACATGCATCACGAAGGGGAGCGAACTGCCCCCTAGGCAGCTTCTGACTCTCCTTCACTGCCACAGGCACGTTGTTACACAGAGAGGGGAGGTCCAAGGTAGCGTTCCCCTCAGTCTCTACAAAAGAGAGACATAGGGGGAGAGGGAGATGAGCGAGATGGGAAGGACAGAGAAGGAGAGTAAGAACTCAAACAAGGGTGAGAGATTGAGAGAGACAGACAGACCATGGACAGACTGAGAGAGGGTGGGAAAGAAAGAGAACGAGAGAGGAGAATAAGAAGAAAAGAGAACCAGAAAGGGGAGGGACAGAGTACAGGGAAGAAAGAGAGGAGTCAGAGACCATGTGGAAGAAGGAAGACAGACAGTGAGAGAGTGAGACAGAGGAGGGAGTAACAGAGAGAAAGGAGGGAGGGAGAGAGAGAAGGAAACAGAGTGAGAGAGGGGAGCAGAGTGACGCTATTAAAGGAGAGAGTGAGAGGTGGAAGGAGATAGAGTGAAACAGACAATAGAAAAGAGCGAGCAGGTAAGAGGGAGAGTGAGTGAGTATGAGAGAGATAGAGTGCAACTGTGAGGGAGTGAGTGTGTGAGGGAGAGTGAAAACCATTAAAGTGGGTTTTGTCCTGTGTCTAGATTGCATTAAAACTCTGACAGCTACAGGCATTTTCCATCAACCATCTCCTGTTCTAAATTATTACAGCAGTTAGTAATAAAAGTGCCTTTGAGAACTGACATAGTGACTGTCACAAGGAAGTCAAGACAGGAATTAATAATTTAAGGTGGACACTACAGGATGAATAAACAAGATGTGAAAATGTCAAATTCTGTTTGTGGCTTTGAGTTTAAAGTGAAGCAAAGAGAACAAAAAGGACAGAACAGATTCTGAAAACATCTGGGACTTCCATCTCTCTCTGGAGCAAACAGCCAGACAACTTGGGAATTTTATCCCACACTCTCAGCGTCTGTCATTATCAATTGTTTCGATGCAAATTTCCCCAAGTGTCACCAGGAGTGTCTCTGTACTCACAAACCAGAGACACACTAGCCCCAGGGGCCACTGACCTCTGACCTCCCCCCAAGTGCAGTGATCTCTGACCCCCAACATAGTGACTACCCCCACCCCCCCCCACTTCCAGACCCCTGAACAGTGACCGCCAAACCCAAGGCCAGTGACTTCTGACCTCCCTCACACCCCCCACCCTTGCCAGCCAGTGACCTCTGACCCCCTCCACCAAACAGTGACACCCCAAACATCTGAGGCCAACAACCTCTGACCCCCAGTACCGCAATCCCTGAGGCCAATGACATTTGACCCCAGGCCAGCGACCTCCGACCCCTCCGCCAGTGACCAATGCCCGTGTGGAACATTGTGCGAGAAGAGGTTTTGGAATGCCTGGCACCATTATAAATAGGAATAGTTTAAAGGCATATGACCCAAATGCTGGCAAATGGGACTAGATTAATTTACCCCTATCCTGGTTGGCTCGGATGGGGTTGGTCTGAAGGATCTATTTCCATGCGGTATGACTCTATGACACAATGTTTTAAATCCATGTGTGGTATTAACAGGGAGCAAGGCCTGTACAGGTCGACTGTGGCCTCACAGACAGGAAGATCGTAAAGGAGCTCTGGCAGGTGTGAGTATCAGCCCCTCCACCCAACCCCTGTCTCTGCTGGGGTCCACCTCGGTCTGGCCATGCCCACATTCACAGTAACACATTCCCTCCCACGCCACTCACAAACCCCCTTCAGGGGCCAACTGTCCTCAATTAGCAATCCAGGGCCCGAGGAATGACTCGCAAGCTGCTCGGAGGCAGACAGGCAGCAGGGAGAGGAACACTAAGTTTATACATCCGACTGTTCAATCTCATCCCCGGGCAGCCATGACACCACACAGAGACTCTCCATCCAACTCACCCACATACCAACCCTGAGCTTCCGTGGGAACCACTCAGACCCCTGGACCCATCGGGTTCATGTCCCACTGACAACATGGTTGAGGCTAACACCTCAGAGCGTAGCACCGCGCTGTTGGAGGGTCAGCACCGAGGGAGCGCTGCGCTGTCGGAGGGACGGCGCCGAGGGAGCGCCGCGCTGTCGGAGGGACGGCGCCGAGGGAGCGCCGCGCTGTCGGAGGGTCGGCGCCGAGGGAGCGCCGCGCTGTCGGAGGGTCCGTGCTGAGGGAGCGCCGCGTTGTTGGAGGGTCAGTGCTGAGGGAGTAGGCACTGTCGGAGGGTCAGTATTGAGGGAGCGCCGCACTGTTGGAGGGTCAGTGCTGAGGGAGTGGGCACTGTCGGAGGGTCAGCGCTGAGGGAGCGCCGCGCTGTCGGAGGGTCAGTATTGAGGGAGTGCAGCGCTGCCAGAAATGACATCTTCTGGATGAGATGATTAATTGAAGTCTAATTTATCATCTCAGGGGGACAAGGAGCTTTTACAAGTTGTCCTGAGCGAAGGGAGCTCTGAGAGGTGCGAGTGAGGGGAGACCAGGTGTCATTAACTGCTCCGTGATGTTCAGGGCCCTCAGTGGCCTCTGTAATAAGGTGGGGTTTCCATGGTGATGGTCAATGTCAGGCCTTTTAGAATGCCTCCCAGAGCCGAATAGCCAGCTGACTCTCAGTCAATGGCAGTAAGAATAACACAGCAGACAAGGAGTCCCCGTGTATCTGCATTCCGGCAATTGGGAATTATCCAGGGGCTGAGCAGGGCGATGCCAGCCGATTGGATAGGTTACAAATTAAATCTTTCCAGTTCTTGACTCACAGGTAGGAGCAGAGCAGAGTTACTCAGCAGTGTGGACAAAGCCCTGTTTACTATCAGTGAGGTTAATGAGTCAGAGATTATGGCATTCCTAATGACATTACTCAATTTGTAAAATGGGGCTGTAAAATAATTAGTCATCTGAGAACAATGTTAATAAATGCTCGAATCCAGGTCTGAGCAATCTGTCTGAATCGCTGCCAGGCACAGACAGACGTTACTCACTTCAAAATTAGAACAATGCAGGTTGTTGACTTGCTCGCTGAGCTGGCTTGTTCTCGTTCAGACAACCTCACCCACAACCCGAGCTACAGATCTTTGCCAAAAACTTTATAAATCCCAGACGGCCAGGACTAGCTCACTTCAACATTAATGGTTCACCGATTCCAATCCTGAGCTGGAGAAGGCCCAGGACTGAGTGCAATCTCAAGCTTTCCCTGCCAGATATTTGGCCCTGAAAGAGTCATCTCCTCTAGTACATGCTATCCATTTGGGGTTGGGACTCTGCAATGGAGCTTTGTAAAGTTAGCACAGGGAGATAGAGAGACAGACCTGCACAGGAATCAGGCCATTCTGCCCCTCAGGCTCCCTTCCGCCAATCGTAAAACCGTTTCCAAGTGCTTGCTCACAGCCAGCAAGCACACAGAAAGCTCCCCCAGGCAGCGATGCGACCAGTCAATCTGTTTCCCTGGATTCAAACCTTACCTTGGAAAGACGGCACACCCTGTAACAATGCAGCACCCTTCAGCACTGCACCAGAGCCTCAGCCTTGGCATTTGGTGCTCAAGTGGGATTTGAAGCTGGAACCCTTGACCTGATCGAAGTTTACAAAATAATGAGGGGTATAGATAGAGCTCATGGTAGTCAGCTTTTCCTGGGACAGGGGATTTCAAGACTAGGGACCACATTTTTAAGGTGAGAGGAGAGAGATTTAAAAAAAGACATGAGGCAATTTTTTAAAATAGAGGGTGGTTTGTGTGTGCAGTGAACTTCCTGAGGAAGTGGTGGATGTGGGTACAATTACAACATTTGAAAGACATTTGGATAAGTACATGAATAGGAAAGGTTTGGAGGGATATGGGCCAGGAGCAGGCAGGTAGAACTAGTTTAGTTTGGGATTATGGTCGGCATGGACTGGATGGACCGAAGGGTCTGTTTCTGTGCTGTAAGTCTCAGGTATAAGTGTGCTACCCACTGAGCCACAGCTGACTCTTCAATAACAAGAAACTGCACCCGACAGCTACCTGTTCACATGGCTGATATATTTTATAAACTTAACTGCCTTCCGTATCTCACCATAAGGAGTCCCAGGTCCGAATTCGCTGGCAGCTTCAATCATGTACTGGCCCAATAACTCGCCGTTCGTGATCCGAGAGGGAATCTTACGGTCAAGCTTCTCATAAAGGAATTCCTCAATTCGGGCACCTGGGTCAGAGGAGGAGAGAAATGACGTCAGTCCTACTTTTGTTAATTACATGCTCAACCAACGATTTACCCCCCCACCCCCGCCCTCCACCCCCTGGGCTCAATAACCTCCCCCGAAACCCCCAACACGATAACAGGCCTCAAAATTGAGGAGTTAGCCACATCCTGATTGGCACCACCTTCAACACCTGCCCCATCCACCACCTTCACCATCCAGTGACTCGTAACTGCCCTAAGCTCCAGCGCAGTTAGGGATGGGTTACAAAGGCCAGATCAGCCAGCGACCCCCACATCCCCTGAAAGAATAAAGACCAATCATTGAGAGACACAGAGTCACACAGCACAGAAACAGACCCTTCGGTCCATCCAGTCCATGCCGACCATAATCCCAAACTAACCTAGTCCCACCTGCCTGCTCCTGGCCCACATCCCTCCAAACCTTTCCTATTCATGTACTTATCCAAATGTCTTTTAAACATTGTAACTGTACCCACATCTACCACTTCCTCTGAATGTTCATTCCACACGCGAACCACCCCCTGTTTTAAAAAAAAGCAGTCTCCAAATTTCCAGCTCATGCAGTCTTCAAGAACCACTCTCATACACACGTTCATCTGTAACTGAAAGAGCCATTTAAAACCACAAGTGAAATTCTGCTATCTGCAGCAAATCCATTCCAGGAAATCTCTGGTAAACGGTGATTTTTACGGATATTTCAGACAGCAACCAGAGGGACAGGCACAATGTGTACCTTCTACTCCAGGCAGTAAGTTTTCCTTTCAAATTCTTTTCTTCATAATTACAGACAAACGAAGATTAGAGCCGCAGTGGGCAAAATGACATTCAGTAATTTTGTACAAATTTGTTAAGGGCAGACAGGGGAATGGCGGGGCTGTATTGAACCACGTTTATCCGTGTACACAGCTGTATTGGAGGTATTGTATTCACCTTATCACTCTCTTCATCAAACCTACTTAGGAACCATAATTGCCCGTACCGTGTTAAATAGATTTGAACCAGAATTCTCCTGTGGCTATGATACAGACTGCATGATGGCAAGAGCAACATTAACATGGACTTATCCACTGGATTCACTCTTCAATACAGCTCATCAGTCACACTCTCAGCATCCCATAATCAACAGGTGGTTGTCATGTCAACAAATGCAGAGTATTAAAACAATCTTTTCTGTGATTATCAAGAAAGAAATAACTTGAAAGGATAACTTAGAGGGATCTCACCAGTGGTTTCCCTCAATATCATCATCTTCCCAATAATGCTCATGGGGGAAGGTGATGGCCTCTTGGTATTATCGCTGGACTGTTAACCCAGAGACCCAGGTAATGCTGCGGGGACCTGGGTTCAAATCCTACCACAGCAGGTGGTGGAATTTGAAATCAATAAATATCTGGAAATAAGAGTTTCCAGATGAGGAAAAGCCTTCAACAATCAATTCCTTTTCCTACCACAGGACGAGTTATGGTTAAACAGTAACCAACAAAGCCCAAAACCACTAACTTTATTGTACTCACAAACAGAAACCGAAGTTGCTGGAAAAGCTCAGCAGGTCTGAGGAACGTTCTGAGGAAGGGTCACCGGACCTGAAACGTTAACTCTGTTTTCTCCTTCACAGATGCTGCCAGACCTGCTGAGCTTTTCCAGCAACTTCTGTTTCTGTTCCTGATTTACAGCATCCGCAGTTCTTTCAGTTTTTATTAACTTTGCTGTACTCCTTGCCTGGCTCACAGAACCTGCACAGAGTTTTTGAAAAGGAAAAACTTTGCTAAAAGCACTTGTTACGCGAAAACCATGTTGTTTTCAGATAAAATCCCCACAGTGGGGCAAAACGGTAGCACTTTCCTCTGCAGATGCCTGCCTCTCTGAGGAATCATACATAACACTGCAAACAGAAAAGGACAGCACTTATCTCCAGAGATCGCTAACCAGTCACTGCAGAGTGACAAGGTTTTTCTCCTGCACACTGGGCTAATTTCAAAGATCGTTTGATGATTGTCATCTCAAATAAATCAACTGGCCTCCCTGCTTTAGGAAGGATGTTGTGAAACTTGAAACGGTTCAGAAAAGGTTTACAAATATGTTGCCAGGGTTGGAGGGTTTGAGCTACAGGGAGAGGCTGAATAGGCTGGGGCTATTTTCCCTGGAATGTCAGAGGCTGAGGGGTGACGTTATGGAGGTTTATAAAATTATGAGGGGCATAGACAGGGTGAATAGCCAAGGTCTTTTCCCCAGGGTGTGAGAGTCCAAAACTAGAGGGGCATAGGTTTAAGGTGAGAGGGGAAAGATTTAAAAGGAGTCGATGGGGCAACTTTTTCACACAGAGGGTGGTGTGTGGATGGAATGAGCTGCCAGAGGAAGTGGTGGAGGCTGGTACAATTACAACATTTCAAAGGCATTGGGATGGGTATAGGAATAGGAAGGTTTTAGAGGGATATGGGCCAAATGCTGGCAAATGGGACTAGACTAATTTGGGATATCTGGTCAGCATGGACAAGTTGGACTGAAGGGTCTGTGTCTCTGTGCTGTATGGCTCTGATGAGCCTTGAATTTTCCCTGCGCGACAGGAGCACTAAACTTCTTGAAGGTACAGCAATGGTTAGCAAATACAGTGGGGGAAATGTCATGAAGGGTTGTTGCAATTTTGGAAAAAAAAAAGGACATCCTCATCACAGAAAGCAAAACCGATGCCGGTGTATGGAACTTTAATTAGGCCACGTCAGAATATCGCGTACCGTTCTGGACACCACACCAGCAGAAGGATGTGGAAGCTTTGGACTGGGTACAGAAACGGTTTACCAGGATGTTGCCTGGCTTGGAGGGTATTAGCTATGAGGAGAGATTGGACTAACTCAGTTTGTTTTTTCACTTGAGTGTCAGAGGCTGAGGGGTGACCTGATAGATATTTACAAAATTATGTCAGGTATGGATAGGATGAATGGTCACAATCTATTTCCCCCAAAGTAGAAATATCAATTGCTAGGGGACAGAGGTTTAAGGTAAAAGTGGCCAAGTTTAAAGCAGATGTGAGAGGTACTTTATTTTTCACACAGAGGGTGGTAAGTGCTTGGAATGTGCTGCTAGAGACGGTGGTGGAGACAGATACAATAGCAATGTTTAAGAGGCATCTTGACAGATACATGAATAGACCAGGAATAGAGGGATTTGGACTGCATAGATGCGAAAGGTTTTTAGTTTAGAAAGGTATCATGTGTCATGCAGTCTTGGTCGGCCAAAGAATTGAACTGAGTTAGCTTCATTGTCACATACACTCAACTGAGTACAGTGAAAATGTTTATACACCGCCATCATAGGTAGAAAGGTGCCTGGGTACAGCTTCTTTAGTTAAAAGATCTCAGAAAATAGAGAAATAAACTGTCCAGCATTGCAGAAATACAAGTCCAGAACAGTGGTCTTCTAACCCATAGCAACTGGCACCCCGGCTCCAGTCCCCACTAAGCCCCGAGCCCCGGGCTCCAGTCCCCACCGGGCCTTCTCGAGGATCCTGAGGCTGGGAGATTGCTCTAGTATCGCTCAGGACCGGCTGACCAGGCTGAAGTCACGCAAGACCGAGAGACCGCCAGGCCAGGGTGCTGCCATGCTAGGCCGGGGGGCCGCCATGCCATGCCAGGCCGGGGGGCCGCCATGCCATGCCTGGGGGCCACCTCGTCGTGCCTGCGCTGAGGCCAGGAGTCATTGGAGGCCGGGAGAGAAGAAGAAAGAAAACACCAAGAGGAAGAAAAGAGAAGAAATAGAAGAATAAAAACAGGTGGAGCAGACAAGCTCTAGCTGAAGCGGCCTACTCTGGCCGCCATCTTGGATCAGCCTGTTCCTGTGCTGTACTGTTCTTTGTTCAAACACCAGAATGTAAACATTTTACAAAAACCGATTAGAACGACATGGTGAAACACTTTTTCACCCAGAGACAGGTGAGCCTGCGGAATTCACTGCCACAGCGAGCAGTTGAGGGCAAAACATTGTACAGTTTCAAGGAGGAGTTGGATATAGCATTTAGGCCGAAAGGGATCAAAGGATATGGAGGTGGTAGAGTTTGGAACTCTGTTCCACAAATGGCAGCGGATGCTGGATCAGTTGTTAAATTTAAATGTGAAATAGATTTTTTTTTTGTTAAGCAAAGCTATTACGGGATCTGGGCAAAGGCAGATACATGGAATTAGGCCACAGATCAACCATGATCTCATTGAATGGCAGAATAGACTCAAGGGGCTGAATGGCCTACTCATGGTCCTATAAAAGCAGGAGCAGGCTAAAGTGTTGGATGATCAGTCATGAGCACATTGAATGGGGGAGCCGGCTCGAAGGGCCTACTCCTGCTCCTATTTTCTATGTTTCTCTGGTTCATTCCAACCTGCAAGAACCTCCACTCAACATGGGGTTTTATGATGCGACTCCCCCCATCAAACAGAGTAGGTTCAGGCTGAGCCCAGGAGAGAGGGGGGGACGGGTTGCTGACGGCAAACGGGGGGTGGTGACGGCGAGAGGGGGGGTGTTGATGGAGAGAGGGGGAAGCGGCGGTGGAGGGGGGGAGGGGAGGGCGGGGGGGGGGGGGGGGGGGGGGTTCGATGGAGGGATTGGTCTGGCATTGCCTCAGGATTGGGTGACCACACTGAGACCTGGGAGTAGGGACAGGAGCACAGTCCATGAATAAATAGACATCCTTTATCCTTTGAAAACAATACCTTGGCCAAACATGAAACAGCTTTACATGACCACACGCATATTTCTTCATTCTTTCACAGAATGTGGGCATCGCTGGCTAAGGCCAACAGTAATTTACCAACTTATTTTTCTCTGTTGTGTCACTTGTGCAGGATTTAAAATCAGAGCAGATTTTCCTAGAGCAGGTACAGCTTGGGTTAGACACAGTAAGGTTCCTTCTCCAATATCCTATCAAACCTGATGATATACTTTAATCCAGTCGAGCTGTAGACTGAGAATACTGAATTGAAGTTTTTCGTTGCTGA